CATAAGGTCTGCTGCGCAACATAAGCAACACAATACATTGCGCTTTGTGTTGCATGGCCGAGTACATGGCCGAGTCGGCCTACATCATGTCTGACCATGAAGCAATTAGCTAAGTTGCCATCAGGACAGATGACATTTGCATGATGGCGCAACTGCCACTTCAGGGCCAAGAGCTGCAGCCGACAAGCGCGTGGAAGCAATGAAGCCGGCGCACCTAACATGCCACGTTCGAGACCAAGCCCATCAGAAAAGCTTAACGTCTGCTGAAGAAACATAAGCAACATGGCAACTTGCGCTTTGTGCTACATGGCCGAATCGGCCTACGTCACGTCTGATTCTGAAGCAACTAGCTAAACTGCCATCAGGACATGTTACATTCGCATGTGGCGCAGTTGCCACTTCAGGGCCAACGGCCGCAGCCGACAAGCGCATGGAAGCATTGAAGCCTGCGCACCTAGCGCGCTACATGCGAAACCAAGCCCAAACTTCAACAATCTAACTTAATGGAACAGATATCTGCAACATTGGAAGCAAACCTGTATTGATTGCATGAGTTCTTGTGCCGCGCCGTCCGGCTTCGCGCGGGCTGCGCGGCCTCAGCGAAAAAACTGCAGTCAGCTGCGCTGCAGTCCTTTGCTCTAGCTTTCGTAGCCCGCTCCTCAAGTATCCAAAGTCCCAGCACATTCTTGGCTTCCCACCGAAGCCGCATGCTCTGGATCCCGCCAGAGCACAACAACTGTACCTGTTCCTCAATTGTTGAGTTTGGGGACTTTGCTGCATAGGCGCGAAAAGGACAATTCCGTAGTTGTGGCCTACCGAGTCTCATGTGGGTAGTTGTCAAAATTATGGTCCCTTTTGGGGTACCCTAAATAATAGGTGCCGTATTATAATAAGGACCCAAAAAGGGACCATAATTTTGACAACCACCCACGTGGCGAGTTGGCCTCCTATCTTGCACGCTGAAGTCGTGTGCCAAGGCAGCTTGCGACAACCCGTCTGTGGGAAGCCCCTGGCTGCGATTCAGGGCAAGCTTGTTGAGTTTTCTGCAGTCATCAAGAACCAGAACTCAGAGGTGAGACGACGAACTTTGTATGTTTTCCGAGGAGTGACATCGAGAGCCTTGCCAAAATTTCTTCGCAAGCGACTCGAGAACGGACAGCGCGCCCTTCTCTCAGACATGGCACAGTGTGACACTGGGTTGCTGCTTTCCGAAGCAGTCCAGCTCAAGATTCAAATCAACATGCCTTCTCATGGAGTTCGTCATTTTGCAGACTGCAAGAGTTGGAAGTTCATCTTGCCCGAGCTGAAGCCACATACCTGGGGTTGAGAGAAGATGAGAGAAGTGCACTTCCACACGTGTGCGTAGGGGCGGTCTATACGACGCCTGAACATGGGTACACTCTCCTCATGCTTGAAAGCTTGGAGTGGGAATATGACCAGCTTTGACAGCAGCCCAACCAGTGTTTAAATGAGTATGATTCTCGAGTGAGTAAGGCCCGGCCCAGCGGCCCTAAACCCTAAACCCTAAACCCTAAACCGCCTTTTTAGTATGCTACGTTGAACCGCGAGGCGGCTTGTGGCACGGGCGTTGCGACAATAATTGCTCAACTTGGCCTGGAGCTCAGATGGGAGTTTCCGAGAATAAGGGTTTAGGGAAAATAAGGGGTACCTTCTTATTGTGGGGTACCTTATGATTTTTGGGGTGCCTTATTATTTTGCGGTACCTTATTATTTTGGGGTACCTTATTGTTTTGGGGTACCTTATTATTTTGGGGTCCTTATAAGAAGGGTCCTACTATTTAGGGTGCTATATTAGGGTCCCCTGTTTTTGGAAACCCCCAGATGTTTCTCAGGAGGAAGGTGTCAAGAGGATGTCCGATGCATCTGGCACACAAGATTTCAACTCAGATGACAGGGGTTTAGGGTTCAGGGTTTAGGGTTCGAAGTTTGAAACGGATTCCGGCACTACATTCTTCTTTTTGGCAAGCCTGAGCTCTCTGTGGCAACTCTATGGGACCTTAGATGAGAAGATGGTCTTCTTATTCAAGTTCATGCGAGCAGCTCCCGAACTGCGGCAGTCGAATGTACTCATAGCCAAACCTCGGCAAACGATGTGACAAGGCCGATGAGAAGATAAATGTAGGTATAAAAATCATCTGAGTCCAACCGATTTGCGGAACTTTTGAAGCAATCCAGCTGAGCTCTGCGAAACTGCTGCAGGACTCGCCACGGTGTTCCTATCCTTTACCTCGCATCTCGGAGCAGTTGGCAGGGTTGCGTCGACGTTACCAAGATGAGCCAGTGGTGGCAAGCGGATGGCAATCCGAGGTTTCACTGCACGAACGAAGCTAACATTCGGGCAATCTGCGGTGCAGGGATCGCAGGTGCGTTGATCTGCGTGACAGCGCGTGAAGTATGTACAGCACGTCACTTAGTGTACTCGGTGATTTTGGGCATTACCAGGAGCCACTGGGGCATTGGCTGGCATCGCTGGGGCTGGCATGGCAGCATATGTTGCGTGTACGGAGGGGCAGCATCTGGGCTCAAATCTGTTGCTGCCTACAGGCTGTAATGATTGGACTCTCGCAGTCGCTACCAAGGAGGTTCGACGAAACCGAAGCGCTGTCCAAGAAGTTCATAGCAGACTTCCTTGCAGAGGTACGCACTTTTGAAATGGGGTTATTTCAACTCTAAGTGCCCCCATTAGCACGCACCCCGATGCCGGACTCAAAGTCGGCAACATTCTGTGATTTTTAGGCAAGGCCGCTAACCGAAAAATCCACCGACTGGATTGCGAACGCACGGATCACTCCTTCTGATTCTCGAATAGAACAATGCATGAAATGATTGTTGCCGGAACTACACATCGCGAATGTTCGAGTTTCCAGTGGAATGAGACACAGACATGCAGCCAGAATCTGAAGTTCAAGCATGCAAAATCTTGCTCGAAGAAGGTCCCCTTAGCACACATTTTGTTCAGCAAGTTCCCAAGTGCAGACTGGTGCGGGTATTAGGTGATTCAGAGCTGGTCGCCGAAAATGCCAGGAAGCCACAAGCATTGTTCAGGAAACCTGCCTGTGGCTCAGTTCCGTCTTGGATCAATGTTCAAAGCTTGATGTTGTTGCAATGCAGCGGGAGGCCCGGACCTGTCGCTTCAGTGCTTCTTGGAATTTACGCAATTCTTCTCGAATTGCCCGCCCGGTGCGAGCGTTGCAGGCACGGAGAAGTGGAGAAGCGCACAGAAAACTTGAAATCTGGCCCGCTCCGCGAGGACCAGTGACTTCATCTTGCCCGGTGCCTCCGTCTCCTCAAGCATGTCCAGGCGTGACATCATGCAGAAAGGTTTTCCGCCGGGTGAACGTGTGAAATGATAGTTGAAAATGTTGAAATGGGGCCGATTTCAATTGTTGCAATGGTTGACATGGGGACGGTTCCAGGCCCGGAAGGATCCCCATGGTGGCATGATCATGCAGTCTACACACACGCCGCAACGTGTGAGCGTCGAATGTTTCTTTGTTTGTCTAAGGCAACTTCACGTAGTACGAGTTAATCAGTAGAACTTGTCTGCTTCGTTGCCTTGCTTTCACATGCAGTGCCCAAGTTCCATGCAGGAATCGAGCCCTGCGTCAACGAGTTTGAGGCATTAAGGCCGAGCTTGTTACCCGGTTGCACATCAGTTCGTGTAACTAGGTCAGAACATCTGGTGGGTACTTGGCACATTCCTACCCTAAACCCTAAACCCTAAACCCTGAACCTGTCTCTGAGGACAACTTGGTTTCCGTTGCCGACGGCGCCGCTGGAGTTCGCCGCACTGGCCTCTGGGCTGCAAACCCAAGGAGGCGATGAAAAGAATCAAGAGAGACACCCCAGATCCTATTTTGGGGGTTCCTTATTATAATTTTAGTATAATGGGCCTAATTATCAGGGCCCCTAATATAGAACCCTATAATAGATCCATCCCTATAATAGATCCATCCCAGGTCAACGGAGCTCAATCGTGCTTCGAGTACCTGTGACTGGTCTGCTCTTAGTTCCCGGCGAGCAGCCCCGGCGCCTGCCGCGTGTCTGAGGACCTGCTTCCTCACCCCGGGCCCGAGCCCATCGCCTCGAAGGCTCCAAAGCGATGCATCGCCTCGAAGGCTTCAAAGCGATGCTCCTCAGATCGCAGAAATTCGCAGACGTTTGCGAAGATCACAAGCCTGGCTTTTCCGTTGCTCTTCAGCCTCTCAGGCTCTACGCAGCATGCTCTTGCAAAAAGTGGTGGGCCCACTTCCAGAACGCTGGCGTTGCGTGGCAGCTGAAATGCTTTCTAGCATGGTTTGCTGTTCTGCGCTGTGCTCTTGCCAGGGTTGAGTTTGAGTTCTTCAGGGGCCGTGATGCGAGGGTTGACGTCGCGAGCAGTCATGGCTCCTCATGCCTCACTGCTTCAGAAGCCGCAGAACTCACCGAAGACCGCACGCCCTTTCGGACGATAGCCGGCCGCTGTTCGCCCTTGGCTTCCTCGGCAGCCTAGGCTCGCTGATTCATGGGGAGGATCCTCAAGAGGGCATCTTGCCTGCAGCCTTTGCTTTGCTTGTGCAACCCAGGCAGATCAGGCTTCAGACGCCATTTAAATCCAATGTCGAAACAAGATGGGTAGTTCTCTAAATTAGGATCCCGTTTTAGGTCCCCAATATGGTACGGCACCCTTATAAAAAGGACCCCAAAAGGGACCCTAATTTAGAAAACTACCTAGATAGAACGTGGAGGGCCAGCTAAGCTTCAGTTTCATTGTCAGGGGAAAAGCTTACAACAAGGATGAACCATGGAGGTGGGGAGTGGCCAGATTTGCTGCTAGACGTTTTGGAAGCGACTGAAATCGCGGAGGCCATTTTGCAATCCCGGAGAACAGGGTGCACACAATTTTGGCAGAACCCGACGACAACGCACATCACCGGCGGACGTTCCAACGGTTAAAGTGGAATCGCAAAAGACACCTTGCACATCCTCGCACAACATTTGATTCGGAAAGACTGTCCCAAACATTCTCGTGTTTCCCCTTAGACCGGATCCCAGTCCAGAAGAGACTCTCTCCAGGCCCGTTCCCGCCAGTCATTACCTATACTATTTTGGGGATCCCTTATTCTAAATTATAGTACAATATACCCCAACACAAGCTTTGCTGCCTGGCTGCGCAGCTTGGGAGCCAAAGCAGGTCCTCGCGAGTCTCACGACGGTGTTCCTGCCGAGGGTGTGCCGTGACCTGTCTCAAGTTGGCCAAATGGCGGGTGAATGGTGTGAACGTGGTGTGAACATCGTGACCAGTGGTGCTAGTATAGGGGTCTTAATAATTCGAATAGGGTTTGGGGTATATTATACTATAAATATAATAAGGAGCCCCGAAAACCCTATTCTAATCTTTAAGGCCCTTACATGATGGACTCTCTGCCGACTCTGCGTCTGCTCGCGCGATCCCTAGGATGATCAACCGCCTCTGGAACCGCAGCGTCGGCTCCTCCGCGAGCCCGATCCTCAAGAAGACGCCCAGTTTCACGCTCGAAAGCTTAAGACAGGCCTTATGCGTTTAGGGTTTAGGGTTTAGGGTTTAGGGCCAGTTTAGGGTTTAGGGTTTAGGGTTTAGGGTTTAGGGAAGGCAGCTTGAGAGCTTGAGGTCAGGGGCTCTCGAGAACGGTGCTGCAAGGCGGCCAGTTTTTGGAAGAGGCTGGAGACCGATGTCTGCACAGCCCGCACTTGGAGGTTCATGGGTAGTTATAAGTAGGGTTATAAGTAGGGTAACTATAATATAACCCATATTAGGGGACTTATAACCCCACTTCACTCGTACTTCCGCACGCCACAGGCAGCCAGGGAACTGCACAAGCGTGAGGCGAATCACGTGCCTTGACGTGAGTTGGCTACCGCTTTGGCCCTGCCGTCTCCTGCCATGCTTCGGATTTCTGCCACCATCCCAGGATTTGTGCTTAGTTAACGACGGACCGCTCATGGATGACAACCAAGAGACGATCCCTTGAGCCACTGTGAATTCATTGTCTTTTTTGAATCATGGCCCGTGTTTTGGCATCTCGCTTGACCGGGTCGTGTGATTCTTCGGGCTGCCGACGAGCCCGTAACTCAGGGCTTCGAGAGCATGATAATTCATGCTCTTGGAGGGCCGTTTTCCAGTCGTGGTGTGCCGGTAATTGGCCTGTGCACCCCTCGAAGCCTTATATAGTTTCGAAGTGCAGCTGATGATGCATTGGATACTCATGCGCTCAAGTCCATCGTCAAGTTCAAGCCGGGTCAAAGTGTTGGTGAATGTTGCAACTTTGTACCTGGGCTGCACACGTGCAGTGGTCTTCCAAGGAGAAGAGTGCTCAGTGGCACGGTTTCTGCAATGACAGTGTGCTGCCAAAGGCAAGTAGGGGCGTCCGTGGGGCGGGATACTCAGGTTGAGTTGTCTGTCAAGACTCACGACAGTGTGAAGGGAAACTGTCTCTGCAGCTGCATGAATGGCTTCAAAGACGTGACCAGCACACCTTGGCAGTTCCCGAAACTATCCAGCGCTAGACTCTTTAGACTTAGCCAGCCTCAAGAACTCAGCTCAGCTGTCACTGCTCATGATAGACTTCGATGAGCTGGATGAGGCCCGGCCGGCTCGGAACCCTAAACCTAAACCCCCTAAACCCTAAACCCTAAACCCTAAACCCTAACCCTAAACGCTAGACCCTAAACCCTAAACCCTAAACCCCAAACGGCTTGAAGACTTATGTACTGCGATATGCGAATTTGGGTCTGAGC